AAGAATGTCGTTGCAGACCCTAACTAAGGCTGTTTCGGTGCTATGTAATTTCTTAAAGCCAGACTGAAAGATCTCAAGAATAGAATTTCAACTCAAGAACTCATTTAATTGAGTGAAAACTATTTTCTCCAGGATCTTAGAAAGAAAGGGAAGTTTGGAGATGGGTCTGAAGTTTGAGCAGGTTGAAGGGTCAAGTCCAGGTTTTTTTTATTAAAGGAGTTACCACTGCATGTTTAAAAGCGTCAGGAACTACACCTGTAGCCATACTGCTGTTTATAATGTCAAGAACAGAGGGTCCAATGGAGGGTAGGACTTGTTTAAAAAACGATGCAGGGATGGGGTCAGCAGGGGAACCTGAGGGTTTCATATGACCAATGACGTCATTTAGAAATGAGAGGGAAATGGGTTCAAACTGGTTAAAGACTGATGTGGGGGGGACAAAGACAGAGGGTTCAGCTGTGGTGTGAGTAATCAGTGACCTGATCAGCTCAACCTTTTTAACAAAAAAACTGGCAAAGTCGTCACACGTAACTGTATGGCCTCCCAGTTGACAGACTGAGGCACGGTTAAAATGGAGTTAATGGTGTTGAAAAGAACGCTGGGATTGTGGCTGTTTCAGGAGATGATTTGGGAGAAATATTTGTTTTTTTCTGATTTAACAGTGGCCTGGTACTCTTTGTAACATGTTTTTAGCATGATAAAAGAAACTTGAAGTTTGTCCTTCTTCCATTTACGTTCAGCTTTCCTGCATCGACGTTTGGCTGCTCGAGTGATCTCGTTCATCCAGGGATGTTTTTACCTACATTACCTATGTAGATTGTAAAAAGAGGGTGGGTCCTAAGACTGAGCCTTGTGGTACACCATTGTTGACTGTTAAATAACTGGAGGAAGTACCATTATGTTGAACACATTGCCTCCGGTCTGAGAGATAGTTAGAGAATCAACCAATGGTGTGTTCTGAGAAACTGATTTCTGAGAGTTTATGACACAAGATGTTATGATCCACAGTGTCAAAAGATTTAGACAGGTCTAAGAAAAGTGCAGCACAATAATCCTTAGCATCCAGTGCTTCAACGTCATTAAGAACCTTCAGTGAAGCAGTGGTTGTGCTGTGTTGTTTCCTGAAACCAGATTGATGTGGAGGTAAGATGTTAAATGAGTCCAGGTAATTTTTGATTTGAGAGTTTATCAGTTTCTCTAGAACCTTGGCTAAAATACAGAGTTTAGAGATTGGTCGATAGTTGTTCAGTGAGGTGGGGTCACCTCCCTTCAGCAAAGGAAGAACAAAGGCTGTTTTACAAGTGTCTAGGATGGAGTTTTGTCTTATGGAGAGATTGAAGATGTGGGTCACAGGGACTGTGATGATATGAGCAGCCAGCCTTAAAAAATAAAGTGGAAGTTCATCTGGACCTGCAGATTTTTTAGGATCAAGATCTTTTAACAGTTTAATGACCTCACTGACTGAGAACGGAGAAAAAGAGAAGCTGTGATTAACTGAGGATTGACTTGTAGGAGGGATTTGATTTGTAGAAGTTTGGTGTGAAGTGGCTGATCTTCCATTAGTAACTGTGTCCAATAAAGAACTAGAAGCAACAAAATGTTCAAACAGTTCAGGATCTCGTGCTTATTTGACACAGGAACAGAGTTAATGAGAAGTTGTGATGGGAGGTCAGATGATTGGGGGGTGCCTGAGAGAGATTTGATGGTTTTCCAGAATCTCTTGGGGTCAGTCAGATCGTCTTGATTTATAACTTTCATTATATCTTTAGGGATTCATAATGACCAAGCTGGCTAGAAAAATAGATGCCACCAGTGTTGTAATAAGAGTTCAGCCTAAGATTGAAATGAGAGTTCAGGTGAGTTGTGCTTTTCTCCAAGAAACTTTAGATAAATGGTAAATGGACTGTACTTATTTATATACCACCTTTCTATCTGATCAAGATACTCAAAGCTCTTTACACAACAATCTGTGTCTCATCTCCTCATTCATACAGCACTCTACTAGATCTCTACAAAGCTAACTGAACAAATCATTCTAAAGAGACTAATCAGTGCTTTATCACATTCATACGCTGATGGGACACACATCAGAGGCAGTGAGGGGTTCAGTGTCTTGCCCAGGGACACTTCGGCATGTGACTGTTGGTGGATTCAAACCCCCAACTCTTGCATTGGAGGACGACTGCTCTAACCACTCAGCCACAGCCACTCCATGTTTTTACTGTCGAGTGTGTCTAGAATAGATATTTGACCATAATATTGGGAATAGTTGATTGATGGGAATTAGAATCAATAATAGTTTGCATTTATTCATATGTAATTTTAGTCCAGATGTTTCAGATCTGTTGATTTTAGGAAGTCGGTCACAGTTTTTCATACATATTGCTGCATGATCAGATTGTTTTCCTAACATTGTTAGTTTTCCTTTTTAACCAAATTATTATTATTTTTACACAAACGCACACAAAAAAAGAAAACGCAAAACAAAACCCCCTCCCGATCCACAGCGGATCAGTCACATACACAAATAACCTAAGTTGAAACATTAACATGTTTTTCATAAAAGGCTGCCAAGTGTCCCAGAATCATTTTACAGAAACTTTCATGGTATATCTTGTTTTTTCTAGTAGATGAATATTATACATCACTTCTCTTAAACAATGTACATAAGCTGGGGGGTGGGTACTTCCAATTTCACAAAATGAGCCTCCTGGCCAGGAGAGCCAAAAGCAATCACATCCTTCTCGTACTTGCTGAAGGACGTGTCCACAAGGACCACCCTGAACAGTGATAAATGGTGATGGGTGAACAGTTTCTCCACATATCCCAGGGAAGGTGTCAAAAACAGATTGCCAAAAGATCTTCAGTTTGGGACAGGTCCTACATGTATGCAGGTGTAGCTGAAATTTGTTTACAATGATTACATGCAGGGTCCATGTCGGCTTTGATCTTGGACAACTTGTCTTTGGACCAGTGCAGCCGGTGCACCACCAGCGTGTCTCAAGACAGATTGAGGATGAGTAAATGTTCCTAATGATCTTTCACCAGATTGAGTCTGATATGGATTCTTCCAAGTCCACTTCCCATTTCAGTTTAAGGGAGTCCAAACTGGTCTCACGGTATGAACTGAGCTGTGAATAGATCTTAGGGCCCCTAGTTTCAGACCTGCATTCCAGAATATTAACCACTAAATGTTTTGAGGGGTACAAAGGAAAACAATCGGAGTTAGACCTCACAAAATGACTCAGCTGCAAATATCTGAAAAACTGTGACTTGTGGATATTAAACTTCTGTACCAGCTGCTCAAAAGAGGCAAATCTACCATCAACATATCGATCATAGTGAATGCACTCCCCTCGAGACCCAGGTGTCAAAGGTTTTATCAGCTACTCAGGGAGTGAACATGATTATTTGACACAGGTGACAAACAGTTCTGGTTCTGGGCCTCATTGTATTAAAACCAGGTCTGGTTCTGGCTGCAATAAAACCAGGTCTGGTTCTGGTCACACACGTGGGCTCCATCCAGAACCGCTGCCTTGTTCTCTAGATCAGAGCTTGTTTCCAACGGACCGGGACTCTTGATAGATGTGTTTGAGGGCTGTCTTCAAATAACACGTTGTTGTTGTTTACAGTAAACAAATAGGTCAACACTCAGCTTCGACAAAAACTTTATTCAGTTTGATTCCAGCATTTTTGACATTTTTAGACTTCACCATAAAAATGCTTCTTTCACAACATGAAACATGGAACAAGGAGACAGACACATGGAGGGTGGGACACACCTGGGTACAGTCCTCTGTGGGGTCTTCAAGTTCATCACAATAACTTTGTTCACCGTTTAAACGGTGAAGGTGTGTGTTCTGAGACAGCTGTTATAAAACAGGTGTGTTTGTGGAGGGAAACATCAAACAGGTAACACTGATAAGAAAATCTTCAGAACAAGACATTTATTGTGCATTTTGTTTAATCTGAGAAGAAACAGGTTTCATGTTGGTCAACAGAATAATTAACAACCTGCTGTTTGACTTTTAGTGTTTTTAAATCAGATTACAAAAAAAAAAAAACCTTGGAGGCTGGTTCAGACACCACATCTGCTCCTCTTCATCAGAACAGAGCCAAACAGAGGCCTCCTGAGCAGAGCCAATCATCATCTAAAACATCCAGAAGCCGATAATCAGCAGCTGGAATCTCATTGGTCCAGAACATAAACTCCGCCTACTTCAATAAAAACATCCAACAGTTCACTTTAAATTATCTTTAATTGGCTAAAACAGAAAACACCAAGTCTTTCCTGTCTCCATGACGACAGCAACTGTTCTTCAGTTAGCAGGAAGTAAGGCAGTCGGTCACAGGAAGTGGGCCAGTCGGTCACAGGAAGTGGGCCAGTCGGTCACAGGAAGTGGGCCTGTCATTCCCCGAGCTGTTACAGAAGCACGATCCATAGTGTAGCTCATTTGCGCACACGCTAAAAGTAATACTTCTGGGTCGCACGTTGAATATGCCAGATTAAGGAAACTGTACTGGTATATCCTGTAAGATGATTTAATACAACAAATAGTACTATCTTCATGTTGCTAATTTACGCCACTCGTACTTCCGTTAAAATCACTGACATATTTATGTCATTGGTGAAAATGATATGTGACACATGTTTAGGCTAAATAAAAAATTAGGGCGATGTAGCGAAGCTTCACCACGGAGCGGTGCAGTTTCACCATGGAAAGAATTCATTCAGTATCTTGCAAATTAGCAACACGATTATCATACTTTTCTAAGTAAATTAAGACAGTTCTTATTCATAAACAGAATTATAACATTGTCTAGGAAAATTAATAAGTTTATAAAAATATATATTTTAATTAATATTAATAAATATGGCATGTTTCATAAATATATTTTGTTATTATGTGTTGTATTAAATCAGCTTACAGGATATTTCCAGTATATTTTCCTTAATCTTGCATATTCAACGGCGACCCGGAAGTATTACTTTTAGCGCATGCACAAATGAACTGACACTAGGGATCGGCTTCTGTAACAGATCGGGGAATGACAGGGCCAGTCAGTCACAAGAAGTGAGGCAGTCAGACACAGGAAGTGAGGCAGGCAGACACAGGAAGTGAGGCAGGCAGACACAGGAAGTGAGGCAGGCAGACACAGGAAGTGAGGCAGGCAGACACAGGAAGTCATCAGGCAATGGCTTTAAGACTGACGGTGGCAATAAAAACGACCTATTTTTCGCCCATCAGATGTGTGCGCTCTGAAAGTCTTACTAAACCTCAAAAACATTTAAAAATTATTAAAGTAAAAATAAAAACTTTTTATTTTTGCAAATGTGTGATTTCAATTTAAAACAAGATTATAAAAAACATAAACAGGAAATAAATTGTGTGTTAGATGGTCTCCTGTTTTATTTATATGTAAACTTAATTTTCTAATCAATCACTTTTTGAGGATCAAAGCATTGATTAAAGCCTGTTTTCTGATTGATGTTGCTTCTAGTGCTAACTAAAGTGTGCTAAGGCTGCCATGGCACTAAAACAAACAAAATAAATCTGAAGGTCCTGAGTGATCTAAGAGTTGATTGGCTGGCTTGCCCAACTACAGGAATTTAAATTTACAGCAAAGAACGACAAAATCGGATGTTGCATTCTTCCAGAGTTATTCCATGGTGATACATTTGTTAGCAAGCTGCTAAAAGGGCTAATATTGATGCTAGCTTCAGTGTTAGCTAATGGCAGTGCTCTGTGATGTCAACCACTACTGCCTTTCGCCAGCTGAACAGGAAGTAGCCCATACCGGCGCCAAGGGCCACAGCGATGCACAGGTACCCGTTGTAGGTCATAAAAACAAGCATCAGGAAGTAGCTGACAACCACCTGGACAATGTGGAGCCCAGTCTGCAGGAAGTGGGAGGGGCTTAGCATCCGCTGCCTGAGGATGATAGGAAAGTGACAGCAGGTGTTAGCACTTATCAGCCCTGGTAGAAATGATGGACTCACCATACCTGGTGGACGTTTATCAACTTATATATATATATATATATATATATATATATATATAAAATTTAAAAAAAGAATCACTGGCATGCAACAAACCTGTCATTATTAAAAACACCAAACAGCGGGCATCAGGGGCGTTTTTAGGGTTGTGAAACATGGGGGACTTTAGCCCAAACCCCTTATTCATCCTCTTCCCTATTTAAAAAGTGCCCCTTCAAGTCTGTATTTATCAATTTTTCAGACTATTATTGTTATATTTTGTTAATTTATCATACGCAGTCACATCTAATTTCTGTAGCAGTGGAAAATAACATTTATAATCCAGGCCAAGAATTTGATGCCATCCCAGGCCACCACCACCTGATTAACACAAACCACCAAGACCGAGTTAAAATGAGTGCACTTTGAACCCCATATGTGTACTTGTTTAAAGTAGATGCCATTTTCTGCATTCTGGTGTATTTTAACAGGTTGTTTAACATTTAGTTTTACCTACACAAGTAACACTTGATTCAATAAGCTCTCGATCTTGACCTCTCTAAGGGACTTTAAACAACTGCTAAATTCTTGGTAAAAATCAATGCAGACATGTTCCTGTTTCTAGTATTTTATATCGCTTTACAATGTAGCTGATTTTGTTTTGTTTTTTAATATAATTTCTTCCATTTACTTTTCATTTTACCGGTATATGCTTTTTATGATTGTCTACTGTTGTCATGTGTTCTTTGTTTAAAACAGGTCTCTCTTGTAAATGAGTCCTTCAGGCTCAATGAGACTAAGCTGTAGAAATAAAGGTTGGAGTGAAATACAAAAACTAATTTAGAGTTAATGGCACAACAAGAAGTAACCTGACCAAAAGCTCTCCTTGTGTGAATGGAGCACACGCTTCTTCTCTCACACATCCTAGTCACAGTCTAAGAAACATAGTGTGGCCTAAGTTAATTTATTCTTTTTTTTGGAGGGGGGGGGGGGGGGATCACTTGCCAATATGAAAATAATAATCACAACTTCTTACCAATGGCCTAGCACATAAAGCAATATGATCATCATCTATTGTGTTTATTAGTAGCTTAAAATGCTTAATTAAAACTCCAGCTATGGGCTAGGTCTATTAACCTTACCCAGTTGTAGGGTCACGAAACAAACATGTAGCATTAACACAGTATGAACAACATTTAGGAATTGTTTCTATAAGAACATTATCAAATATTTTATGTGAACTGTAAGATCGCTCTACCCATGACCAAATGTAATCCAGGGTGAGCTAACCTCGGACAAACTAACAAACAAAGAAAGCTTTAATGGTGGAGGTAGTGAAGCTCACAGTGTAACTTGATGCATTTAGTGAGACATTGCTGCCTTATCAGCGAACATTAAGGCAATGAAGACAGAAAAAGAAAATCCAAGCTATCCATCCATCCATGGATGGATGGAGAACACAAATCACAGATCAAAAGTTTAAACTGAGAGAATAAATCATTTTAAGGGAAAAATCTGTTGTTTCTAAATTTCATGGCGTCAACAAATCCCAAAAAAGTTGGGACAAGTCCATTTTT